AAATATTTGAAGGGATGTCGTATTGAGGAGGGAGCTAGCTTGTTTTCTACTGCTCCAGAGAACAAGACCTGGAACAACAGATGCAAGCTACAGGAATAGAGATTCCTCAACATTAGGAAGAACTTTCTGACTGTAAGAGCTGTTCATCATGGAACAATGTGGTGGAGTCTCCTCCTTTGGAGGTCTTTAAAGAGAGGCTAGATGGCCATCTGTTGGGGGTGCTTTCACTGAGAGTTCCTGCATGGCAGAGGTTGGACTGGATGTCCCTTGTGATCTCTTCCAACTAATTCTATGTTCTTCAAAATAAGAACTGGATCTTTTGATTTGTTGTTACACTTGGGCCATATTTTGCAGTCTGTATTGCCCCCAGAGACATAGAATTACCCCCTTCCACACACAGACACAGACACTGAAGTTTCTTACCTTTGTATTAGCAGTAGTTGTGAAATTCAACTAAAGTTCCAGCCAAGAGACGTCTTCCACTCTCTTTTTGATGGCTAATGTCACAGTGGTAGCATTTGCAAGGTACAGGAGAGATATGGGATTCATGCAGCCCTTCAAATGATGTTGGACTGTAAGTCTCAGTAGCCCTAGTCATCATATTAAGGGATGCTGGGAGTTGCAGTCCAGTCCTGGACTGGACTGCACCCTCCTAGGTCAATGGACTCCCAAGGGTTATATGGTGCAGAAGCACACACACATTACAGCACCTGTTTGTAGAAGCAGCCAAGCAGTGTAGTGTGAACTTTCTTCAGGTAGTAAATTACAAGGATTCCCTCCTAAGTAGATCCAGTGCAATGGAAAAAAAAAAAGATTAATCGATCACAGCTTTGATCTGTACAATATACAGCAAAATAAAAAAAATGCACTAATGTATTTACTAGGCTATTCAAAATGCACAAACCACGTTATGCAAGCTTTTGAATCTCACAGGCTTCTCCATCAGGGATGGGTGGGAAGAAATGTAGAGGCTCGCATAGCTGCATCATTCTTGAGATGTTAAAACTGAGTTTAAGATAGTGGAGGAAGAGGTCTGATGCAGTCAAAGGCAGGATAACCAGACATCCTCCTTTTCCAGGACATGTCCTACGTTTCAACCTTCTGTCCAGGAAGAATTCCATAATGTCCTCCATTTTAAACATAACTAAGAAGCATGAATGTACATTTATATGAGTGTTTTTAGTTGTTACTTGGTCATGTCCTACTGTTTTCTTGAATGTCGTTTTGCAGTGCCTTGTCCTTTGTGGTTAGGACTTCTGGTCACTGTGGGCAAAGGACTCGCCCCTAGTTGGCCCTGAGGCATTTGGGACACAAAAGCAAAGCAAGGCAGTGAACTTGTTTTGTTCATTGGTAGGATCAAAGGTAATTCCCCTGAGATCTGGTCTGTATCTGTCCTGTGTGAGAGGCTTCAGAAAGCCTCCTAGGACAGAATACAGGCAGAATAAAGTGAGTCCCTTGAGAAGCCTCTGTACTGACACACCTGGAGGTAAATTTGTTGTTAACTGCTGTCAAATCAACTTCGAATTATGGTGATCCTGTGAATGAGAGACCTCCAAGTCAACCCATCATCAACAGCCCTGCTGAGGTCTTGCAAACTCACAGCCATGGCTTTCTTAATTGAGTCTATCCATCCAAAGTAGTGGTCTGAGTGATGGACTATGACTGGAGACCAGGGTTCGATTCCCTGCTTGGCCATGAAACCTTGCTGTAGGGTTGCCGTAAGTTGGAAACGAGTTGAAGGCACACAACAACATCTGGGATGCAGTCTTCCTCTTTTCCTACTGCCTTCTACCTTCTGCCCAAGCTTTATTGTCTTTTCTAGCAAGTCATGTCTTCCCATGATATGGCTAGAGTATGACAGTCTCAGTCATCTTGGCTTCTAGGCTTGATTTACTGTAGGATCCATTTATTTGCCATTTTAGCAGTCCACAGCATCTACAGAATTCTTCTCCAGCACCACATTTTAAATGAGTTGATTTCCTTCCTATCACCTTTCTTCAATGTCCAGCTTTCACAATCATACCTAGAAATGGAAAATGTGATGACATGGACAATCTAACTTTAGTATTCGATTATATATCTTTACATTTCAGGGTCATGTCTAGTTACTTCATAGCTGTCCTTCCAAGTCCCAGTCTTCTCTTTCCTTGACCACAGCCTCCATTTGGATTAATGACACTAGGGACCACATTGCAAACATACGATGGCTAATGGAGTGCACCAAAGAATTCCAAAAAATAATCAGCAAAAAATAATCAGCAAACCATTTGATTGTATAGATCACGAAATATTATGGAACGCACACAAAGACATGGGGGTATCACTACATCTGATAGTCCTAATGTGGAATCTGTATCAAGGACAAGAGGCCACCCTCAGAAAAGAATTTGGGAAAACAGAGAGGCAAAGAGGTCAGACAAGAATGCATCCCATCACCCTACTTGTTTAACTTATATGATGAAAACATCATAAGAAAAGCAGAATTAGAATCAGAAAAATGAGGAGTTAAGATAGGAGGAAGCAACATTAACAACCTAAGATATGTGGACAACACCATAATATTAGCAGAAGACATTCAGGAACTGGAACAGTTAATAAAGAAGGTCAAAGATGAAAGTGAAAATGTTTAGCAGGTCTGATGCTAAACATAAAGCAAAAATAATGACCACAGAAGAAATACACACATTCAATCTAGACAATGAGGAAATTGAAATAGTTAAAGAATTCCCATAACTAGGATCAAACACTGACCAGAATGGAGACTGCAGTCAAGAAATAAGAAGAAGACTAGGAACTGGAAGGGCAGCTATGAAAGAATTGGAAAAGATACTAAAGAGCAAAGACATACAACTGAGCACTAGTCAGAATCTTTCAGGCCATTGTGTTCCCAATTACCATGTACAGATGCGAGAGCTGGACAATGAAGGAAGCAGACAGAAAGGAAACCAACTCCTTTGAAATGTGGTGCTGGAGAAGAGTCCTTAGGATCC